TGAATCTGATGGCTGGGTGTATGGAGTTGATGTGGTCGAGAAATTGGTCTAGAGCAGCACGGCCATGTGGCCAGATGACAAAAGTGTCGTCTACGTACCTTTTCCATAAGGTCGGGCGTAGAGTGGCAGTCTGGATGGCGTCCGTCTCAAATTTCTCCATGAAGATGTTGGCTACAACCGGAGATAGGGGGGAGCCCATTGGGGTGCCCTCAGTTTGCTTGTAGAAAGTTTCATTCCAGGTGAAGTATGTATTGGTTAAGCAGTGTCTCACCAGGGGGGGTACCCCAGCATTCAGTCCATGATGAACCAAGTCTTCAATGATTGCGATGGTGTCAGGTACAGGAACCTTGGTGAATAAGGAAACCACATCAAAACTGACAAGCAGGTCGTCTGGGGACAGGGCAATCCCCTTGATTGTCGATACCAGGTCAGTAGAGTTTAGTACCGCAGAGGTGGTTTTTCCAGTGAAAGGCCGTAGGATTTCAGACAAAAAACGAGCCAATTTATAGGTGGGGGAGTTGATAGTAGAGACAATGGGACGAAGAGGAGTATCTTCTTTATGTATCTTTGGCAAGCCGTATAATCTTGGTGGCCTGGCTGCAGAAGGTTTCAACGAGAACTGTTTGGTCTGATCAAATAATGCGGTTGAATCAGAAATGATTTTGTTGGTTTAGTGACGAGGCTGTTGGTGGGGTCTCTTTTTATTTTTGTATAGCTGCCATCGTTGAGTAGTTCTTGAATTTTGTTATTATATTCTATTTTGTCCATGATGACAGTGGCATTGCCTTTGTCGGCTGAGAGGATGACAATGTCATCCCTCTTTTTTAATTGAGCTAATTCAAAACGCTCATCTTTGCTGATGTTGCTAGCTGGCATCTTAGCGTTTTTGAGGGTTGCAGAGATTTCAGATCTTGCTACGTCTGCAGCGATGTGACTCAAGCCCTTGAGAGCTACATCTACTCGAGCAATTATATCATTAACTGGTATGTGTCTAGGTGTGACTGCAAGTTTAGTCCTTTAGCTAAAACGGATTTCAGACCTTCAGAAATAGAACTGTTACTGCGATTTATTACGACTTTGTTAACATCTAGCTTTTCAATGTGTGGGTCCGGTTTCTTGTTTGAGAGGCGGTTGAATTTGGAAATCAAGTTGTCCTTACATTTAGTCGACATAGCGGCAGCTGAAGAGGCAGTCATTTTTTCTACATGTTCCCAATCCGATGTGGACATTGTTGCACTCAAAGATAAGTGTGATTTGTAGAGTGTCTTGTCTAACTGATCTAGTTCGGTGCGCGTAAGTCTGATTTTCTCTGAGATAAGAGCTAAGCTAGTTCTAGACAGAATTCTTTGGCTGGTTAAGTAAAGACATGCCTTACAATGGCTGCCCATAAAAAAAAATTTTCATGCATTTGTTTTCTGAGCCATTTGTTTTAGTGGCCAGGTACTGGGCCGATTCTGCTATGAGACCCGAGTGTGTGCTTCGCCGGGGAGAGATGTAAAATGTAGGTGAAAAATGAAATAAAAATTAATAAAAATAAAAGAATAAAAATCACGACGTTTCGGATGCAACACAAGCTTCCGTCTTCAGGTGAAACAGTCACAGCAAAATATCTGTTTCACCTGAAGACGGAAGCTTGTGTTGCTTCCGAAACGTTGTGATTTTTCTCTTCTTCTTGGTTCTTTCGGTAAAGTCGTCACGTAGAAGGGAAGTAATAAAATAATAAAAATAAAAATAATAAAATAATTCTCACGACGTTTCGGCCACAACGCAAGCAGCCGTCCTCAGGTGAAAACCAGGTCTGTCGGGGAGACAGCGTCTGAATGAAACAGCACACGTGCTTGGATCATGTATATAAGCTGGGTTGGAAGGGGGGGAAAGGGCGCTTCGACAAATAATTTGCATATCAAGAGGAATTTAGCATATTTATGGGAAATGCAGGAATGTGATTAGTACTACTTATGCCCGTGCATTATGCAGGATTTGTGATTTATGCAGGATTTGTGATTTTTATTCTTAAATTTTAATTTCATTTTTTACCTACGTGACTTTACCGAGTATGAATCCTTGCAGTCGCGAAAGCTTCAAATCTCCAAGATATCAAAATGGATGAGCAGTGCATGTGTAGTGACATAAGAAGGGAGGGGCTGCTGTAGGCTCTGGGTTCCCAGGTGGGTCCAGACGCGTAAGCCTCTGGGCGCCAGGCACTGGGTTCCCAGGGGGTCCAGACGCTTTTAAGCCTTTGGGCGCCAGGCGTTGGGTTCCCAGGCGCTTAAGCCTTTTTGGCGCCGCCAACGGGGGGGGGGGGGGGGCTGTGTGTGCTCTGTGGGATGTCTGGTGGCGCACACGGCCCCACCCCTCGTCGGACCAGGCATAAAAGGAGAGCTCCCTGGACGATCGGGGCCCAGTTGTAACTCAAGACCCAAGACCCACGACCAGCCATCTGAAGACCCTGGGATGCTGTGAGAGCCAGTGGTGGGACTCTGGAACTCCCGACTCTACGACCTTGTGAGAGCGAGCGTAGCCAGAGTAGAGTGTCTAGAGTATCTAGGCTGTGTAGCTAGGCTGTGTACCTAGGCTGTAACAGAGTATCAGGACTGTTGGAGTGTTGTATTGTAATAAAGAAGTTACATCTACAAGTGTCTCCGGAACCCGTTACACATGCATCAGGACGATGAGGAGCTGCAACAGCAGCAGCAGCAGCAGTCTCCAAACAATTGGAAGACTCCTTCACGCACCAGGCAGAATGCACCTCAGTCTGTGCAACAGTATCCTCCTGCCTTGGCAGAGGCAGCAACCCAGACTTGTCAGTCTCCACAGGCTCAGCCAGTTAAGCACACCCCACCAGTGCCTAAGGTGTCCACTTCTGGCAGCAGTCAGCGGACCGAGTGGAGAGGCGGCTTCTGATACGAACTCCCAAGGTGATCACTTTGACTGCCCCTTGTTCACACACGCGTGCTGCTGTCTAGCTATTAAGACACATTTGAGGTTTTTGTAAATTATATAATTTCACTAATAGGGGTTTTCACCTTTTTTCTGGCAACAAAACTGACACCTTTTGCAAGGAATCATGCTCACATTAACCACAATACTTGCAGTCAAATGCAAACAAAAAACAATACTCTGATAATGTATGCATTGTCTTTGAAACTGATTGGTCCACACCAGAGACAGCTTTCTTTATAGCCTCGTTTCATATGGCGTTCGACCAGATGACGCCAAGTATTGTGGTTAATGTAAGTATGATTCCTTGCAAAAGGTGTCAGTTTTGTTGCCAGAAAAAAGGGGAAAACCCCTATTAGTATATTTTGGTACTGGTGTAGTGGGTTCGAATTAGGTGCACACACACGCAGCTTGGAGGCAACACTATTTATTAAACGGTGAGTAATATAACGCTGTACATGAGGTGGTGACCACCTTCCTCAACTCACTAACACTCTGGAACACGACACAGACTGGACCAGGCAGGCAACGGCCTGCCTGGCCCAGGACGACGACTCGGACTTGACGACCGATGATGTCTTCACTTCGGAGTACAGTACAACAGCCTCGCTCTGCGTTCACACCACGCTTATATCTGCTTTGGCGTGGCTGGCTCCTCCCCGGCGTGGCTGTCTCTCTCCAGGCCACGCCTCCCTTCCCAGGCCACGCCTCCCTTCCCCCCACGTCTGGGAAGGTCCGGATCCCTCCACCACGTGACTCCCCAGGCACCCCCTTGGGGCCCCCAGCCTTCGTACAGGCCGACACAGTAGTGACCGTTCTATGTCACTACACTGGCAAAGGAGGCCCCATGATGTAGCTGCTCACCCCGAGCCCTTATTACTCTGGTAGTGCGTTGTCTTGAACTGTGCGCCTTTTGGCATCATCTGGTCGAACACCGTATGAGACGAGGCTCCAAAGAAAGCTGTCTCTGGTGTGGACCAATCAGTTTCAAAGACAATGCATACATTATCAGAATATTGTTTATTGTTTGCATTTGACTGCAAGTATTGTGGTTAATGTAAGCATGATTCCTTGCAAAAGGTGTCAGGTTTGTTGCCAGAAAAAAGGGGGAAAACCCTATTCTTGGTTCTTTCGGTAAAGTCACGTAGAAGGGAAGTAATAAAAAAAAACATAATAAAATAATATAATATTTATTATATAATATTATTATATAATATTCTTATATTATTTTATTATATTATTGTATTATTTTATATTATTATATTATTTTATTTTATTATGTTTTATTTTTATTATTTTATTACTTCCCTTCTATGTGACTTTACCAAAAGAACCAAGAAGATGAATCCCTGCAGTCACGAAAGCTTTAAAGGGAAAAACCCTATTAGTATACGGAATGTCAGCGTGTAGATGTGAAGTGATCGTGACTGCAAGGATTCTACTCTTTGGTTTCCGTCGGTAAAGTCACTTCGGTGAGAAAAGAAAACAACTAAAATCACGACGTTTTGAAGGCAACACGAGCCTCCGTCTGCAGGTGGAGTATGAACCCTTGCAGTCACCCGCCCCCCTGCCCTTAGCCGGTGTATATGAGGTGGTGTGTCTCTTAGGGCTCTCTTCACTTGACACGGTCACTTTGCTGTGACGGTTCCATCTGAAGACGGAGGCTTGTGTTGCTTCTGAGACGTCGTGATTTAATTTTGTTGTTTTCTTTTTCACCCACGTGACTTTACCGAAGAAACCGAAGAGTTTGAAATACGAGTGCTTTGGATTACAAACACGTTTTTCGGAACGAATTAAGCTCGCAATCCGAGGTTTTACTGCATAGACGCGTGAGTCGCGTGTGACTATGTGTATTTGCATTCCCCTGTGCCTCCATACTGATGCGTAGGTGGTGTGGATATTCTTCTTGCTGTCTGCGGCTGTCGCTTCCTCTGACGCTTCCTTGCAGAATTGGTCTGATGGAGCAAAGACGCTCAGCGCAGCTCGGGACGACAAGTCAAGAATGCGACCAGCGTGGATACAGCACGGATCCGACTGGAAATTTGACACGGCACCAGAGAACACACACAGGAGAGAAACCATTCAAGTGCAGTGTGTGCGTGAAGGCATTTTCACGGTCATCTGCTCTTAAAGAACACCAGAGAACACACACAGGAGAGAAACCATTCAAGTGCAGTGTGTGTGGGATGGCGTTTGCATGGCCATCAGTTCTTCAGATCCACCAGAGGACACACACGGGAGAGAAACCCTTCAAGTGCACTGTGTGTGGAATGGCGTTTGCACAGTCACATAATCTTGTAATACACGAGAGAATACACACGGGAGAGAAACCCTTCAAGTGTACTCTGTGCGGGAAGCCGTTTGCAGATTCATCTGCTCTTAAAAAACACCAGAGAACACACACGGGAGAAATAGCCTTCAAGTGCAGTGTGTGCGTGAAGGCATTTTCACGGTCATCTGCTCTTAAAGAACACCAGAGAACACACACAGGAGAGAAACCCTTCAAGTGCGCTGTGTGTGGGGTGGCGTTTGCATGGCCATCAGTTCTTCAGATCCACCAGAGGACACACACAGGAGAGAAACCCTTCAAGTGCACTGTGTGTGGAACGGCGTTTGCACAGTCACATAATCTTGTAATACACGAGAAAATACACACGGGAGAGAAACCCTTCAAGTGTACTGTGTGTGGGATGGCGTTTGCACAGTTATATAGTCTTAAAACACACCAGAGAACACACACGGGAGAGAAACCCTTCAAGTGCACTGTGTGTGACAAGGTATTTGCACAGTCACATAATCTTGTAAAACACCAGAGAACACATACGGGAGAGAAACCCTTCAAGTGCAGTGTGTGCGTGAAGCCGTTTGCAGATTCATCTGCTCTTAAAATACACCAGAGAACACACACGGGAGAGAAATCCTTCAAGTGCACCTCCGTGCGGGAAGGCATTTGCACGGTCAGCACATCTTCAAAGACACCAGAGAACACGCAAGCATCAGAAGATCCACCAGGAGTGGAGTGTGAAATCAGCTTGTGAAAGTCAAAGTGCTGCAATGAGCCCATCCCTCGTGAAACAAGAACCGACGACAATCCCAGCTTGGACACTTTGAAAGGTATCGAGGTGAAATATGAAGAGGTGATGGTTAAATGTGAAGAGGTGATGGTGAAATGTGAAGATGAAGATTCAACTCTAAAATGTGACCTTCACATCGATGGTGGCAACGTGAAGCAGGAGGAGACTTCTGACTGTGAGGCCGAGCGAGGCAACTCCCAGCAGTTTGTGGAGGTGGAGGTGTGGGTCGACTTCCTCCGAGACAATACAAAGTCAAATGGAGACCCGGGAGATGTGTAAGCCAGAGACGATGTCGCTCTAAGCTATGCACCTTTCTGTAAAGTCAGACTCTGCCTTCTCGACGGACCTGTTCTCCACCTGAAGACGGCTGCTTGCGTTGTGGCCGAAACGTCGTGAGAATTGTATTTTATTATGTTTTATTTTTATTATTTTATTATTTTCCTTCTACGTGGCGACTTTACCGAAAGAACCAAGAAGATGAATCCCTGCAGTCACGAAAGCTTTAAATCGAAACTGTGCACCTTTGTCACTGGCCTTTAATGACAAGAATGTGAAGTTGAACACTCAGTTCCTGGGTTCAACCTGCAGGGTAAGAGCGGCCAGTCTTTGTGGACCTGTGTATGGGTAGATCTCTCACCAGGAGCGAGAGCCATTTAGCCTCCAAGCATTCACTCTGTTCTCATCATAATTGCATTTATATGGTGCTTGCTTAATTGCCTCGGCAACTCGGGAGTTTTGTATCGTATCTCGTCTCAAACACTCGAAGAGCACCCCAAGTAGCAGCTGCCCCTGTGTGGTACAAGGTGGTGGCCCTACACAGGCCCTAATGTGGACGACAAGAGGCTGCCCGTGGGGGGCGATGATTGATGTGTCATCTTAGTTGTGGAGTTTGTAGGTAATGTTTAGAATTTGCTATATTTTCACTCAGACGCTAGCATGCAATGGCCTACTCGTTTTGAAGGACATTACACTGTAGTATGTTGTACATTCGCTGTGAAGCAGACTGTACTGTTTGGTTTAAAAGCTTCTTGTTAATACGATGTAACGTGATGCAGTACAGGCAGTCCCCGAGTTACGACGATAGTCCCCGAGTTACGCCAATTGAAGTGGCCGTTCAATATTTTGATTGCTTCGCTCCATTGGTGGCGTGGTGGTGGTTTTGTTTGGGGGGGGGGGGGGTGAGCGGTCACTCCGCTGCGTGAGCCTCAGCGGCTCTGTGGGGTCGGTGTTGACTCGTGATGGAGGGGGCTTTTGTTGGGGGGGTCAGATCGCGTTGATGTATCAATGTTGTGTCGTTAAACCCGCCAACACCCGGCACAGCCAACTCGTGAGGGTTGTCACGTAAACAGAACGTGGCCAATTCGTCACGAGTACAGCACTAGTGTGTAGTGTAGTGTGTAGTGTATAGTAGTGTATAGTAGTATATAGCGTAGTGTATAGTGTAGTGTATAGTAGTGTGTAGTGTATAGTAGTGTATAGTGTAGTGTATAGTAGTGTATAGTGTAGTGTATAGTAGTGTATAGTAGTGTATAGTGTAGTGTATAGTATAGTGTATAGTGTAGTGTATAGTATAGTGTATAGTGTAGTGTATAGTAGTGTATAGTGTAGTGTATAGTAGTGTATAGTGTAGTGTATAGTAGTGTATAGTAGTGTATAGTGTAGTGTATAATGTAGTGTATAGTAGTGTATAGTGTAGTGTATAGTGTAGATATGTAGTGTGTAGTGTATAGTAGTGTAGTGTATAGTGCAGTGTGTAGTGTATAGTAGTGTTAAGTCCTTTATGTAAAAATGTCGTTTTTGCAAATCTGCTGCGTGAATGACAAGCGGGAATTTATTATTGATTAATTTCGCTATGCCAGCTAATGAACCTTTTCGAATTTGACATGTAGTGTTTTACAAATGTCACATTTTTTTGCGTTTTTTCTGTTATCGGTTTTAAAGTTTGAACGAAAAAACGATGTTTCATGTTCAGCTGAATTGTTGTTTGTTTTTTCGGTAAAGTCATCACGTAGAAGGGAAGTAATACAATAATCTAAATAAAGCATAATAAATTATTTAATAAAATAATAAAAATAAAACATAATAAAATAATTATAAAATAATTATTTTCTTCTTGGTTCTTTCGGTAAAGTCTTCACGTAGAAGGAAAATAATAAAATAATAAAAATAAAACATAAAATAAAGTAATTATTTTATTTAAATAAAGTAATTATTTTATTATGTTTAATTTTTATTATTTTATTATTTTCCTTCTACGTGATGACTTTACCGAAAGAACCAAGAAGATGAATCCCTGCAGTCACGAAAGCTTTAAATCAGTTGACGTTACACAACATGGAAATACATTATTTTGAACTCAAAAGCACGTAATAGAAAGAAAAACACCTCAACAATTCCTTGCTGTGGGTAAGCCGTGTTGCTGGTTGCGTACACACACACAAGCACACAGTCCCATCTTAGTAACAACAATGCAAATATGCTGATAAATACTCTGTTTCTTTCGCTAAAGCCACATAGGTATAAAAAAAATTAACCCGTAAAAACAAAGTTTTTCACTATAAATCCTTTATATGCGTGGCATCGGTTTTATTTTATTATTCAATTCTGTTTTTCTTGAGTAAGAGTTTCATTTTTATCACATTGATATTTTAAATTAAATATGAAAAAAATTTTTTCCTAAAAAGTGGAAAATTTTTGAAAAAAAATTTCACGAAAATAAATTGTCACGCACAACGAGTCTGTGTGCAAAATGTCAGCTCGATTGGATCACGGGAAGTGGGTTAAAAAACGACCGAAAGATTTGCACGGTCGTAAGCGCGCAAGCAAGCAAGTGAACTTAATAAAAAAAGATTTAATAAACAAAACTAAAGCACGACGTTTCGATTGCAACACAAGCAATCATCATCATCATCAGGTGGGAAAACCACAGCGAGAACATTGTTTTGCTACCTACGTGACTTTACCAAAAGAACCAAAGAGTACGGATCGCTGCAGTGACGTCAACGTCAACTCCAGATCGCTGACAACCAAATCGTCCGTCGTGCCAGGCCGCCATGTTGGCCGGGTGGGTGGGCAGCACGCGCCACGGGCGGACAGAGCCCTGATTGGCTGAGAGCCGCGCGTGCGTCACGCCTCCCTCCCATTGGCTGCTGCTGCTGCCGCCGGTCAACTCACCCGCCTACGTGGTCAGAACGTGACCTCAGCAACAGCTGCGACGTTCGTTTCAACGCCCCAGGCGTCTCCTCTCTCTCACCTCTCTCTCGTTTGCCTTCCTTACGACGCTTTGCTCGACATTGTTTGTGTTGCTCTACACCAACTGCTGCTGCTGCAGGTTCGACGGCGGCTGGTGAATCCCGTAGCGGGTACGTGGCCAAACACGCGTCTCCTCCTCCCTGTGCTACTCAGCGCTCACGCTCTTGACAGACAACTTGATCTCGTCCACATGTCTTAGCCACTCGGCGTTGTTGGATATGGACGTGATGAGTAATGTTACTAACTTTTTTAAAACACACGCGTTAATGAAATGTACCCTGCTGTTTGTAGATTTGAAGCTTTCGTGACTGCAAGGATTCATATTCTTAGGTTTTTTCGGTAAAGTCACGTAGAAGGGAAATAATAAAATAAAAAGTAAAACATAATAAAATAATATAATATCTTTTAATGTTTCATTTTTATTATTTTATTATTTTTATTAATAATATAACAATATTTTTTTTCATGTTTTATTTTTATTTTATTATTTTCATTAATAATATAATAGAATATATTTTTAATGTTTTATTTTTATTAGTTTATTATTTTTCTTCTACGTCACTTTACCGAAAGAAACAAGAAGATGTATCCTACTATTTCTAGATTTGAAGCTTTCGTGACTGCAATGATTCATATTCTTAGGTTTTTTCGGTAAAGTCACGTAGAAAGGAAATAATAAAATAAATAAATAAAGCAATAAAATAATATATTATTATGTTTTATTTTATTAACAATATATATTTTTTTATTGTTTAATTTTTATTATTTTATTATTTTCCTTCTACGTCACTTTACCGAAAGAACCAAGAAGATGTACCCTACTATTTCTAGATTTGAAGCTTTCTTGACTGCAAGGATTCATATTCTTAGGTTTTTTTGCTAAAGTCACGTAGGTAAAAAAATTAAAATTAATAAAGTAAAATAAAATAAAATAAAATCACGACGTTTCGGAGGCAACACAAGCTTCCGTCTTCAGGTGGAACCATCACAGCACGCTTACTGTATCAAGTAACTTATTTTACTTTTATAAATTTTAATTTTTTACCTACGTGACTTTACCGAAAAATTCTATGTACCGTACGAGTAATGGAAGAACTCCAGCAAGTGACCCCGAGGCTTGCCGTGACACTATACACTTCTACACGATACACTACACTATACACTACTATACACTACACTGTTCACTACTATACACTTACACTATACACTGCTACACGATACACTACACTATACACTACTATACACTACTATACACTACACTATACACTACTATACACTACACTATACACTACACTATACACTACTATACACTACACTATACACTACTATACACTACACGAAACACTACTATACACTACACTATTCACTACTATACACTTACACTATACACTGCTGCAAAGGTCCAGGCCAGAAAAACATGTTGTTGTTGTTGTTGACCAGTGTTATAAACACTTGATGTTTGTGTCTAGCAACGAGGCGGCTTGCACTAAAGTATGTCAAACACTTCGCCGCATTTCACCGTG